GTTCAGAAGCTCTGGTAGCATAGTGCCTAAGGCATTTGACTGCTAACCAGAAGGCTGGTGGTTCAAACCCACCAGCCACTCCTTGGAAGGAAGACTGGCAACCTACTTCCATAGAGATACCACCTCAGAAACCCAAGGAGGGGTCGCTATGGGTTGGAATCAACTCAACGGCAATGAGTTTGGGGTTTTTTGGTTTATGGTTTAGTTATCTGCCAGCCTTGTATAAAGTATCCTCTTAATTTTTGTAGATTTCTGTTCTCCAATCCCATCCCCTTGGAATAAATCTCTTAGCCCACAATCTGGTTCTAATAACATTCTCATTTCTCTTCCTTAAAAAAAGAAAACTGTGATAGTAGTAAAAACTCTGGTTTTGCCCTCCAATGGACCTGGTATTTCAAACTTTGAAAAGTAACATTGGGTCTATAAACTCTGTTAATGCACTCTGGTGGTGTAATGCCTGAGGCATTTGACTGCTAACCAGAAGGTTGGTGGTTCAAATCCAACAGCCGCTCCACAGAAGGAAGACTGGGCAATCTACTTCCATAAAGATTTACCACTTCAGAAACCCAAAATGGGGTGGCTATGAGTTGGAATCGACTCGATGACAGTGAGTTTGGTTTTCGGTTTTTTTTTTTTTTTTAATAAGCTCTATTAGTTGCATTTCATGGACTTACTGGTCATTTAACATTTTATTCAATTAACATTAGTTTCACATTTATAACAGCTATGAAGACGGCACTGGACCAGGCAGCATTTCTATCTATTACGCATCAGGTCAGGAGCTCTGGTAGCACAGTGCCTAAGGCACTTGACTGCTAATCAGAAGGCTGGCAGTTCAAACCCACCAGCCACTCCTCTGAAGGAAGATGGGACAATCTACTTCTGTAGTGATACTGCCTCAGAAACCCAAGGAGGGGTCGCTATGAGTTGGATCCGACTCCACAGCACATAACAACAACAACAACATGCATCAGGTTGCCATGAGCCAGAGTCAACTCGAGGGCTACTAACAAGAACAATATATAACATTCATTTAAAAATACTCATACAGGTAAAGCTAGACAGACAAGAGTGCATAGTTAAGAAGGGCATGGGGGCGATCTCACAGGGAAGGGAGGGGAGGAGAGTGGATTAGGGTTGAGAATAGTAATCAGGACGTGAAATCAAATGTACATGAAATGTTGAATGTAAAACAAATTTTGCTCTGTAAATTTGTACCCAAAGCACAATTTAAAAAAAAAAAAAAAAACTCAGAAAATCTAAATGACAAAAATTAAAATATTCATACTGAATTCCTACTATGCATAGGTATTACACCAGGCACTAATGATTCAAGATGAATCTCACAGGATTCTGCTCTTAAGAGTTCTCAGTCTTTTGGCAGAGACCACTGTTGTAAGGTATGAAGTGAGCTGGTAAGCCCAGAGCGCCATGGGAGGGTCAACTAACCTCTCTCTAGGCAGGAGGGAGCAAGAAGATGAAATTGTTGGAGAGGGTTTCCTGGCAGAAATAGTGTCCTTTTCCTTTTACTCTTCACCCTTCTTTCTGCTGGAAAATGGACACATTGCCTATAGATATAGCAGCAATCTTAGAATCTTAAAGACACTAAGGACATGGAGCAGGGAAACAGAAGGGCGCTAGCTGCCTACACCTGGATTTTTGTTACTGAAGAAAAAATAAACTCCTTGTCTAAGCCATTGTATCTCAAATTTTCTGTTACTTGCACCCAACCATATTCTCAACTGATACCCTATTTTATAGGTATCCCAAAAGAAGAGAAAACAGATGATGGAAGAACATAATAGAAAATAATTTCCTGAACTAAAGAAAAATTTAAACTTTCAGATAAAAAGGATACACAAAGGTAGCAAGAAGGAACAAAAAAATAAAGTTTCTACAAATATAAGTATACTCTTGACAAAATTTGTGAACCCTAAAAAATCAAGAGGGAATCCTACATGTTATCAGAAAGAGATGAGTTTGCATCTGGAAATTAGTTTTACCCAAGCTGTAACTCAAATGAAGACAAAATAAATCAACTTTTTTGATATGCAAGTACTCATACTTGAAGTAAAGAAGGCTGACTGCCCTCTGGATTGGGAGGGAACCTCTGTGAGCAATCCTGGCAGCCCAGACACAGCAACACCATGGTCCATTCCTAGCCAGATCCCACAGGGCTTATTTAGAGGTTGTAAATTGTGATGTTATGTAGATGTGCTTTCAGTCTGGGGTAGGGTGTTTTTGTAGGGTATTTTATTTGCCCACAGAGACTTTTTTTTTTTAATTAAATTAGTTCTCAACATTTAAAGATTGGAATGTCTTACATAAAAGTCTGAATTTCTAGCTTCTTTTGAGAAGTTGGAAGATTCTGGCAGCCCTGGGCAGAGATTTCCATGTACTATCACCCAGGGGATGCTGAGTACTGGCTCCCATTGGACTGACTCACCCTCCCCCACTGGCCCCATATATCACTGCACATGCACTGATTACATACCAGTAGAAAACACTGTCCTCTATAGCTCTGAGTCTTAGGATGGGTTCCCTAGAAGCGAAAGGTTCTTGTTCACATGATTTATTGGAGGAATGCTTTTGGACGAAGGGGTATGAAGAAAACAGATGAGGATAAGGGAACAAAACAAAGTGAGAAGCCAATCTTAGCTGAAGACCAGTTTGTCAGATCACTGGGAAAGTTCTGGAGGACAAACTGTACCACAGCGCTAATCCCACTTTGAAATGAGGGAGCTAAGGTGGGGAGGATGACCTTCTGGCCTGTTCTGTTCCCATTTAGCCCAGGCCGTTTCTCCAGGGAATGGAGCAGCTGTGCACCTTTGCACATAGGCTGGGGGTAGATGCACAGATACCTGGCAGGTAAAGGAGATCTGAGCAGGCTGCCTACAGTATTCACTACATCATGTCTCTACTAAACATAACAAAATAAAACCAGACAACAGGACTAAGTGCTTCAAAGAAGAATGGAGAGTTTATTTCTTTGCTGACATAGGAATATTCTTAAAAGTTTAGTATGCAAACAAGCTCAATATTGGAGCACTTGGCTGCTAACCAAAAGGTCTGTGGTTCAAACCACCAGCCACTCTGCAAGAGAAAGATGTGGAAGTCTGCCTGCATAAAGATTTACGACCTTGCAAACCCTATGGGACCATTCTACTCTGTCTTTTAGGGTTTCTATAGGAGCTCTGATAGCATAGTGCCTAAGGCATTTGACTGCTAACCAGAAGGCTGGCGGTTCAAAGCCACCAGCCACTCCTCAGAAGGAAGGTTGGGCAATCTACTTCCGTAGTGATACTGCCTCAGAAACCCAAGGAGGGGTCACTATGAGTCAGGTCTGACTCGACAGTACCTAACAACAACAACAACAACATAAGTAGGAATCTACTCGATGGCAACAGGTTATGGGCTTTCCTTACGTGATCTCCCTGGGCTCTATAAATACCTGGATTTGCCTCCCAGGTTACATGCTGCTCCTCTCTTTAGGTTCAGCCAGTACTCCCCCATACTGTTCTGGGTTCTGGATGGTCAATGTTAAGGGGACAGGAACAGGATAGTGGCCCGTAGGATTACTGAAGACTACTACACTGCAATACCATGAAGCTAGGTTAGAGATGATTTTAAAATCTCCAAAATAAAGGAATAAAGAGAAATGCATTCATGCACTAACTACTCCCATCACTGGCATTGCAGGCAAAGGTTATTATTGTAATAACCAATGTGTAGTCACTGTTACAATTACACAAAATAATCCTTTGATAGTCAATAATGCATTGAGAAACAATAATTTGAAAACTTCAATAAAAATAAATTTGTAAAACAGGATATTTTTAAGTCAGAGAATATTGTCTCATAATCTGGAAAATGATTATAAATTCATGCTGATGGGACAATAATATGATAAAAATCAAAATTAAGACATGCAGGACTCATAGAATACCAGCATCGACATACCTCAGAACTGGAAAGTCCAGAGGCTCCGTCATCTAAGTCCTTCAAAAGTTCATCCAGCCTTTTCTTCTCCTTATCAATCATAACCACTGTGTTTCCTGAGTCCTTGGCCAACTACAAAATTTATTAATAGAAAACATTAACACTCAAAGTAACTCATAGTTCAGGAAAATAAAAATGGTTTCTACAGCACAAATACACTAAGGTAAAATGTGTGAGATCAGGCATTTTACATTTACTAAGTAATTTTATTTTATGCCAAATTTTTGGTATAGGTACATTCTTCAAGCAGACATATTACCATTATAAATAGGCCCTCGTGCTCACCATTTCAACAAACATTTTATTTATATCTATAAATCATATTTTATATGTTGTTGTTGTTGTTGTTATGTGCCGTCGAGTCAAACCCGACTCATAGAGACCCCTCCTTGGGTTTCCGAGGCAGTATCACTACGGAAGTAGGATTGCCCAGCCTTCCTTCTGAGGAGTGGCTGGTGGATTTGAACCTATATGTACATATAATATGTATATAAACTCATTGCCATTGAGTCAATTTCCAACTCACAGTGACCCTAAAGGACAGAGTAGAACTGCCTCATAGGGTTTCCAAGGCTGTAAATCTGCCACATCTCTCTTCCACAGAGTGACTGGGGGAGTTCAAACCACCGACACTTCAGTTAGCAGCCAAACACTTAACTACTGCACCACCACGGCTCCATGAAGTAGTAACCAGTCAACAAATTTCATATATATGTGTATATATATATATATACGTATATATGTATATATATA